CGAGGAGACAAGGGTATCATTGTTACACATCTACTCCTCCAACAAGTCCATCACCAACTGCGGAATAACTTGTACACCTTCGCCCTGTATCGCACTGATCGGCACAGCCTGTACATTGCGCCGCCATGCATGCTTGCGGTTGCTAGGATGAGGTTGCTCGCCCTTGCTCACATTCGCCAAATATACGCGAAGAGCCTCAAAGTTAGCTTGCGTATCCGGCAAGTCGGCCTTTGTCGCGACGACAAACCAAGGCTTCGACGAGATCGGTGTGGTGCTCAGAAAGGGCAGAGGCTTTGGCGACGGGTCCAAATGCGGTGAGTCAATGAGATCAGACGCGTCGCTAGGGGGCGTGCTGGCACCAGCGGGTCTGTATGTCACCGTCCTACGCTCCGTCTCCGCATTCAATTCCTTGCCGCGTAGGGTCTCGTACTCGGACACTTCTCGCCAGAGCAGCTTGAGAGCAGCCACAGCGTCACCAGCAGACAAATCGATGACGAAAGCGAGCACTGCGGCGCGTTCAATGTGTCGCAAGAAGCCTAGTCCAAGTCCTTTGTCGAGATGCGCATCCTCTATGAGTCCTGGTACATCTGCAATGGTAAAGTTCTCGCGCAGTTCTCCATTTGGCCTGCGCGATCTGACAAGTGGTCGTCCTTTGTGGTTGTCCAGAACCACAGTGCCAACGTTTGGCTGAAGGGTGGTAAAGGCCCAGTTGCCGACTCGCGCACGGCTATTGCTCAAAGCTCGAAGAAGCGTGCTCTTTCCGGCATTAGGTAGCCCTACCAGTCCCAGGTCGGCCAGAATTTTCAGCTCCAACTGCAATGAAATCTTCAATCCCTCATCCCCCCGCGTGGCCATCTTGGGCCTGTTGTTGAAGGGTGTCATAAAGTGTGGATTACCCAAGCCGCCCATCGCTCCTGCCGCTATCAACATAGGCGTCTCCATGTGCTTGTCCAAGTCCAACCACATGGGCGCTTCTGGTTCAAGGGCTGCAAGGTGCGATCGTCGTGGCGGAGGAAGCTTAGGAAACTTGATCCTGCTGAGTTCTGAGGCTATAGTCCCAGGATAGACCAGCCATCGGTCTCTTCTATAACTTGGCTGCCCCTCCTCCAACTCTTCCGCATCTTCGTTTTGCTGCATTTTCCAGTGCTCTTCCTCCATTATCGCGACCGGGTCATGTCTCTGCAACTCGCGCACAATGGTCCCTACCGGCACCGTGATCAGGACGTCGGCCCCACGCTCGCCACCTTTGACCTTGCCCTGTCCATTGCGTCCTCTGCCAGCCTTGATTTGTCGCCGGCGAGCAAGCTTGTGCAGCGACGTCTCGCCACGGACTGCTTGTATGTAGATGTTTCCTCCGCTGCCACCGTCGCCACCATTTGCAGGCCCTTCTTCAATATATTTCTCGCGCAAGAACGAGACGCAGCCGTGGCCGCCGCCACCAGCTTCAACAGTCAAGATGCATCGATCGGCAAAAGGCGTAAGGGCATAGTCGTCCGCTGCGGGGTCTAGTCGCGCATTCGGGTGAGCGTCGGGCTGCTCAGCAGACGTAGAGTTGCATCTGAGCTGGATCGGAAATCGTTTACGAAGCGGACATCTACGCGCAGCCGAGGCAAGTGGCACCTGGAGAAAGGCGGGATACAGAAACGGCGTCAGCGTACCGCTTAGGCTATGCGGACGAGCGAACGACATGCGTTAATTGCGAACGTGGCGTGGTCGGGAAGAATGTTCAGTATCATGAATTCCACACGCATAGAATCGCGTCGCGGGACTAGCGAATGACGGCCCCAGATCCGATGATCTGCATCACGCTTGTACAAGCTAGTCCAACATGCCTCGGTATCCAGCATTGTTTGAAAGTACATATGACTTCTTGGACCAGCTATACGTGAAACAAACATTCAGTTATTGGCCCAACCTCCATCGCCTTTTGATTGGACCCCACTCTTGTATCATCCTCAATCCCCAGTTCGCCCCATCCTCAATAACATCTCCGCCCCAATCACTAGCCCCCATCATGATACGCTGTGCCTTACTCACCCTGGCATCAGTCATGCTCAGAGTTGCCAAGCCCGAGTACTTCAGGTTGGGTGGGAAACTTGGTCTTTCTAGCAGCCAGCTTGTAACCCTCCATTGGTACCTCAAGTGGGCGCTGCCACTATGGACCGTACTAGACCTCAACTCGGTACTCAATCGTTTTGCCGAAAGACGATGGATTTGGAAGACGGATAAGAGTATTTGGGATTGGAAGCGTGAAGTTGCTGTGGTGACAGGGGGCTCCGCTGGCATCGGGGGTTGCGTGGTCAAGAAGCTCACCTCTCATGGCATCAGGGTCGCGGTTCTGGACGTTAGCCCTCTGTCAGAGATCTTCACCAAAGGTCCGTTGCGGCGCACAACCGCTAGGTTTCATACTAATCAAGGTAGATGAACTTGCCCTCGTACGATACTACAAATGTGACATCACGTCGCGAGACAACATCCACCAAGCGGCGGAAGCCATACGATCCGATTTGGGTTCACCAACTATCCTTATCAACAACGCTGGCATTGGTAACGCGTGGACTATCAAGGACATCCCACAACAGAACCTGAACAAGATGTTCGACATCAACCTTCTGAGTCACTGGAGTACTGTCCAGGAGTTTCTGCCAGACATGCTCGCTAAGAAAAAAGGCCACATCATGGGTGTCGCAAGTCTTGCTTCCTTCGTTGCTTTGGCCGGTGCCGTTGACTACAGCTGCACCAAGGCGGCGCTCCTGGCTTTCCACGAAGGATTGACGCAAGAGATCAAGCATCGCTACAAGTGCCCGTCCATCCAGACCTCCATCGTCCATCCAAATTGGACCAAGTCTGCTATAACGTCGCATGAGGCCATTGCGGCGGGGCTGAAAAACGTTCGCGCAAAAATTCTACAACCAGAAGATGTCGCCGAGGCCATGGTGGACCAAATTATTCAAGTGAAGAGTGGACAGCTGATTTTGGGCCCAGCACTATCTCCTAAAATCAGGGCACTGCCTCTTTGGATACAGGAGCTCATCCGAGATAGCCAGGCCTACGTCGTCACCGGCGACGGCTCGACAGCGAGTGGCTAGGTGCATGAACTGTTCCTTCGAGTCGATGATGACACTGGAGCGCGGCAGTTACGAACGGTGCGGTACGGAGCGCACCCGTTCCAGCCGCTTGGGGCCAGGATCCTCAACGAGAATAGGGCAGGTTCAACTAGAAACACGGTGCCGCAATCTGGACAGCTTCGTTGGAATTTTGCCGCCCAGCCGAATCAGCAACACAGACGCCGTCAAGGCCGCTGAGGTTACAGAGGTCTGCGCCACGTCAATACCGGGGTCGGCAATCAAATCGAGCTTCTTCTGTCACTTTAGCGAAGTCGATAGTTGATATTTTGCGCAGCACATCATGGGTATGTGACAGAAATGCGACATCTTACTATGTTATATTCGATCGGGCGGCAGATTTCCAAAATGCGAACGATTGAGCGCCACAGCCGGGTTCTGAGCTAATCATAGGTGATGCTATGAGTATTCTCGGGGTTGTATGCAGGTATCATCGACTCAGCCCCATGTTCCTACAGGGACCATGCAAGGTACCTCACACCAACCCTAACTCGGCCCGAACAAAGTGTAACCACGCGAAGGACATCGGTCTTTGCGCAAGAGGCGCGGGACTCAAAAGTTATATGTCACTTCTTTGTTCTCTGTTTCATCGTCTCCGGGTAGCTGTTGTGTTACGTCTGCCTCGCTGTTGTGACTTTGCTTTGCTTTCCTCAAGTCATTCGTTTCAGATCGTGAGCATGCAATGGCCTGGTTCGCGGGAGCTGTATTCGCTTATTGCACCGCATCTTTGGTAGTTGGAAGTAATGTCGAATTTAATTGGAAGAGTGAGTGGACTTTTGCACGCGTTGTAGTTGTACCTACTGACACATCGACGCAGATGCAAGACTCTCTAATACACATATCACGAACGAAAGATTTCCCACATTTCCGCGCCGCGATTTACCCTTTACCAACGGCACAAGTACATCAGAAACAGTTCAGACTACGTCGAGGCTATCGCTATATCCTCTTTCTTCTACATCAAAGTCAGAGAGCAGCACGACTTCGACAGTCATCGCTCATGAGATAACTTCCTCTCAACAGCCCGACACCGCGACGCGTTCCTCAGTAGCTGAAGCAGGTACGTCCGCCGGTCGAAGTAATAATTTGCCTGCGAAAACATCCACTAGGAGCGAGTCGTCAACAGTATTGCCGACCACCACAGTAGTGCAACTGCCAACTGCACTTTCGTCAATCTTTTTGATCAGCTCCAGACAGACTTCTATATCCAGTCACACATCTCCAGGTTCATCTGGAACTGCTTCTTCCATACGCATATCGTCTACTGTCAAGGAACTAGTCTCAGATGTCCAGCTGCCCACAAGCATATCTTCTGCCATCATCTCATTACAGAGCACTCCTTCTACAAGCCTACAACTACCAGTAAGCGTCATCAAATCACAAAAGAGCACTCTAGACAGCATCTCAAGCTTGACGGTGTCCGCTACAACAACAAAACAGAGTGCGACTAGGCTTTCCATGCCTGGAACAGCGTTTTTCACCCCTTCGACAACAAGACAACAAGACCCATTGTCTGGTATATCAACCGAGGTATACAATGTAGTGCTACCTCTTACGCAGAAGTCGTGGGCTTTCTCTCGGACCGTCACTGCTGATGCTATTGCAATCACTACGATTGTAGCTGATTTCTCAAGCTTTTCACAAGCTACGGCGACAATCATATCAAGTCTGAAGTCTCTTTCACCCATGACCGAAGATAGCGCGTCGCCAACCTCCACCTTGACGCTGCCAACGCCCTCAGGCTCTCCAACAACAATCGCAGGACTACCACAGCACTCGGTACTTAGTCTCACGAGCTGGCTGAGATCGAGCTACCCAGCAACCATCGATGGTAGCAGTTTGGCCGCCATCACACGCTTGGCTACGCCGACCAGTATGATATCTGTCTCTCAGGCGACCAGTCTTTCTAGTCTGGTATTGTCAGAAACTTCACTTTACTCAACGATCTCGGGGCCGTCTCTGGGGTCCGTTCCAACCAGCGAAGCAAAGAACGAGACCAATACAGCAATCGGAACAAAATCTGTTCAGTCAAGCAGCTTTCTGATCGATAGCTCTACATTCGCTTTTGGTGGCAGTCTCACCATCTCTGCATCAGTCACATTTGAAGATTTTACGCTGTCTCGAATCACAATTCCAACGGATAGTATTGTCGCAACCGTGACCGGTAATACAAGCTCGACGGCGTCAATCACTACTATGTCAATACCGGCGACTGGACTGGGAGCTCATTCTGCAACAGAGAATCGCACCGTGTCGTCCTCAGTGGCTCTTAGTACTACGTCCCTGGAAACAAGTGTCCTTCCAAGTGCCGGTACAGACGGATCGTCTCCCAGTACAGTCGAAACATCTTCATTCAGTTCGCCAATCTCCGGATCTCTTACTCAAATCACCATATCCTTTACGAGTAGCCGGACTCTGAGCACTGCATCGTCCATCCAGTCTGTAGGGATCCCAACTGCACCAGTTGTTTCTGATCGTAACATTACTGTAACATCGAAAACCGCTTCGGCAGTCACTACGATGATGTCTCTCTCCTCTTGGTCGCGCCCTTCCCTCTCAGCATCTCTCGTTGGGTCGGGTAACATCTCGCTTCCCAGCGCCACCCAGACATACAATTCTACTGGAACTGCTGCTGTCACTGAGTCAATCAGTACCTCTCATGCTAGCAGATCAGGCAGTTCACACATGGCTCCCGCGTTTGGATCAATCTCTCCATCCACCACCACGTCTGCCAGTTTCTCTATCCCCACATCAGCAAGCCCTACGTCGGTCAGCTCTATCTCTACATCAAAAAGTGCGACCATTTCTCTAATCAGTACCTTTGTGACGAAGACAAGAACTCAGAGTTCTATTCTAAGCTCTCGCACAAGCCCATTATCAAACGACGTTCACAAGGATTCAACACAGACTCCAAGTGCAGTCCATACATCTACCAGCAGTCCTACCGAGACAGTGGTTGCAGCAGCTGCACCTAAATTGACCCCATCGCAAACAGCTGGGGTTGCTTTAGGTAGTACAGCTGGGGTTCTCCTTGCGATCGTCGCAGCGATCTTTGTCGCTCGCCGCTATCATGCGATGCATGCAGCAAAGCACGAAAGCTGGGGATCTTCAGGTGTCTACCCTAAAGTCGCATACTTGTACGATCCTTCACTTGGCGAGAATGGCGGTAGAGATAGCGAAGATGACGAGGCATTGGCTTTCATGTCTGGTGGTGCTAGTGGATTGTTATCAACTGGAAGCAGAACACCTCCTCGCGCACCTCAAAACTCTTTCGATTACGACTCTCCTAACTGGCAATACAGCGACCCTGGTAACCCGTTCAAAGATCCTGAGGACCCCTTCCTGGACTGGCGAAGTAGTGATGCGATTAATTCACCAAGTGAACCTGCATCTGCTCTTGCTGCTGCAGTTGCAGAGTATGGGGCCGGGCCGCAAAAGCCTCTACCGCCTGTACCGCTTTCCTTGACGTCTCTCCTTCACGATCATGTCATCCCATCGCCAACTTTGAGTCCTATGGTCAATGGCTGTAGCTTGCGTCGCAGTCACGCACGATCGTCGAGAGGGAGTAGTGTCAGAAGTCAAAGGTCATTGAGAGGTTTCCGCGCTTGTCGTCCAACATCTCCTAGTTCAACGAATCACCCGACAGGCTTACGTGTTCCGCGACGAAGCCTATCATCCATCAAAGAGGGACACGTCGATGATCCCTTCGTAGATGCGATAGAGCAAGATCTACTTCTACCAGTGGACGTTCGAACGGAAACACCAGATTCAGTGATGGTTTATGCGCCAGTGCCGAGGACACCAATGCGATCAGCCTTGTCAACAATACTCTCGGATGACCAGACATCCACGGCTTCGGTACCGAGTATAGCTGCTGCGAAATCTCTAGCAGGTACTCAACCTCGATCAACTGGTAGCATACTCTTCCCTACATCTAAAAACGACCAATATTCGTATGCTTCGTTTGTTTACAACAACACCTTACCACTATCACATCCTGACCGGCCGAACAGCGATCAAACAACCGCTCAGAAGGGATGCTCTTTCTTCTCTTCATCTCAATCCCCACAGCCGACTTCAGTGCCTCGAAACAAAGGCTGGGAAGAGATCAAACGCACTTCCGATGGCACATACAGTCTTCACTCACCTTTGCCAACACCACCTCTTCATAGTTTTGCTCCGTCGCGGCCGAACCTCTCTCCTCTACCTCCCCTCAAGAAACGTTCCTTGATCCAACTCCGCCGCAAGACGCCATTGACTAATACTGGCCAGCTTATGGTATCGACACGAAATCCTTATCCAGCTTCTTCTTCTACACCGTCGGCAGTGAAGACAAACTTTATGTTCAACTCGAACAAGAGCTTTGAAGGCCCACGGATGAGTCTGCTTGCCAAGGTGAACAGCATGGGCGACATCAGAGACGAGGCAGCAAGTCCAAAGAAGAGAAAAGGAAAGGGGCTTGGGTACCGCGATTCTGTCTCCCGGAAGGTGGAGATGAGATCCCGATGGAGTCCTTCGGAGGTAGGGAGGTCATTCTGAGCTTCAACTTGGCTCAGGCCACAGTATCGCATGTAATGTCTTTCCTTCAACTCTCAATCGTTGCCCGCGAAGACATGACAGCTTCCGTGTATCTCTGGGTCTTCGATACCATATCTATCTTTACTACCCCGACTAACACTGGTCGGGACCTGCCTGTACACATCTTCTTGGCCTTTTTTCCTGAATATCGCTGCATTTATTCATAGCATTAATAGCACTAGAATCTCCTTATCCTGTGCTACTGCATAATACAGTTTACTGCAGAACCCTTCTCCTGTACATAAGACTGGTGCCGCTAGCTTCTCATCATACATAATACAATGACAGTACCTTATCAACTTGGCAATGCCACTGAGCCGAGTTCTTCACGCAGTCTCTCCAGCAGGGCCAAGATACGAGGCACATGGTTAGCATCCGAAGACTGTCCGGATCATCTTCGCGAGACCGCATACTACCGTGAAGATCTTGCTCCACTTGGTGAATGAAGCGTGCATCCCTTTCTTGCGGTGAGGACCCATGGGCAGCCATCTTTCATACCAAATGCTCCACACATACATGCTTCCTTCCCAATACCCCACATCTGTTACCGTGTTGCAAGAAATAAACACGCGCAAGCCCTCTTTTGCACTAAAGCTACAAGCAATGCACTCTTCATATGCGCCCCATCTACAAGCATGCCACCATCAATTGTAACCCACCTCATCGTACGACCCGTAGCTGAAAGCTCACCCCTCTTCCGTCATCACTCAGTGCAGCCTTTGGGCATCCGCAAGCTCTGCCGTCATGCTAGCCTTAAACCTTATCCCTACATCACGACTCCTACCACCTACCACTACTGGCTCCCGCTCCCCGGGGCAAAATTCCGGTCGGATACAGCGATCTGATAGGGGGGGCGCCAAAGTCAGGGTAATTGTGCTTGTTCCGAGGCTGATGGGCTCTAACTAAACCTTGGTGGGTATATGCCGCACACCTGCGTCTTCCCTGTCATCTGCGTCTGTGAGCTGCTGCATGTACGATGGTGTTGCATAGTGTGGAAACGAGATCATGAAGAATATGGTCCAGGGATCGCGTGCCACAAGGAGAGGACTATGCAGGTAGCTTTTGTTTTTGAATCTCAGCTCGTGTGCGCCTACACACTAGCATCTTGCAGTGTAAGCGCGCTGCAGTGGCGGTAGTGGTAGCGGTGAACGGCGAAAAGTTTGAACACCCCCGCAATCGAGCCGCCAAAACCAGGCAGGGCTGTGGGCGGAGCAAACTCCGGCGCCCTGCGATGCACATGCAGCCTCACCCTGCTTTTCCCAGACTACTTGCCCTATCCTGAGAGCTGCCGTTGAGAAAGGGTGTTCAGCCGAGTTCGACCGACAACTTTGACTTCTAGAAAGGGACAAAGGACCTGCATATCTGATGAAACGAAAAAGCAAAAACGGAAACGTCATCCAGCGTTCGCCTCGGCGATTAACAGCAAAGAGGAGATTTGCAATCTTGTATGCAGGCTGATCTCTCGTGTGGTGCTCATGGTTCGCATTGGGGTATAATCTAATAGTGTTTGTACATCATAATATCGGGACCGTAAAAGATCCGGGCCCCAAGAAATTCCCCAGCAAACCATCTTCGGATAGCGCGATGTCTGTGCTTCTGGGCACAATGCGGCCTTCTCCGCGTGCTCCCTTGAAGAAGATCCAGAACGTGGTAGCCATGCTTGTATCGCAAAGATCGTTCCAGATCATGAGAGAGCCATCAACGGTCAAGAGGCCAGAGCGAGATTCGCCATTCCAACACATGCATCGTCAGTTTCCCCATTGCTCTTCTGGCCATGAGCTTCGAGCCAAAAACAAAGGCGCTGACAGCCACCATTACCACTGACCTTCACCATCGTCGTTTGATGAATCACCAATATGCTGGTAGGCAAGCATCAGGTCATACCTACGCCGCTGCGCTTATTCTTCTTGCGTGCCCACACATCATCAAGCCACTCGTGGGGTCCCTCAATCTCGATGGGACCGGGGCACAGTGGAAGCCTCTGTCGGTGTTTCTTCTCATATTCGCGGATCGCGATGTGACACTCGATTTCTTGCGCCATGCGCTTAAGCAGCTTCTTTGCTTGTTCATGATACTCAGGGAGGGTACTAAGAGTCTTTTCTGCCATGATTTTAGCCTCATTTGCCGACCCTTGAACGAGGCTGAAGAAAATTTGACGCCTGTAGAACTCCATGGATGTATCCTGGGGAGGTGTTAGACCACCAAGCTCGCGTGTGAGAATTAGTGGACTCTCTGTGTAGATCCAGGATCGTGCACCGTGAAGTGAAGTGTGATGTAGTACCTGTACGTCTAGGATGTGGACCTTAGTTGCACCCATGCGGACGGCGTTTAGTAGCTCCTGTCTCAGTCCATTGGCGTCTAAACTCGAATTGAGAATAGGATCGTTGGAGTCAAGCTTGACACTCTGGGTCTCAGTCTTGTTGATGCGAAGGCGAGTGAAGAGTGTGTGAACTTGTCCTGGGAACAAATGAGGGATCGCCTTGTGTCCGTAAACATCCAGGACCTCACAGCCTGACTTGGGCCGAATTTCCACACTCAAGTCAGTCAGCTCGCCGACGGGCTTCTCAGACCGAGCATTCTTCAAGATGCGCTTGATGCGACCAGAGGTGGATTGGTACTTGCACCAGTTACTGGCGAACACATTCTTGCAGCAATCTTCAAGGCAGACGGTGTCTTGAAATTCTGGCTCGCGACGATAGGGAAGAAGCGCAGGATTGATGCAATGGATGTAAAGGCCTGAAAGTGTCCTCGACACGTCGTGTAGAACATGGGCTACAGGAGAGAGCACGATGATATGAGTAAGACCAGCCTTCAGGTGTTTGCCTTGCATAGACCTGGCTATGCCAAGGATGACGTCGGTCATGGAGGGGTTGGGACGAGGCGGGTCCCATAGCTGCGAACCCGACTGTGCGATCCCCGACGTCAACTCCTGGAATATCTCTTCGACATCCGCACACACGGATTGAAGTGGGTACAGTACCTCTGGCCTGTTTCCAGTGACATCACGGTGGGTGCAATGAGTGGTGTATAGAGCCAGGCGATCTCCATGGCCAAGATGATGCTATAAAAAGTAAGCAGGTGGCTCCTGGGAACTGCAAAATAGTGGCTCACCAAGGCTCCATTGACAGCGTCCAATGACCTCTCCAGACAAGCTGTGGTGACATAGTACCTGTGATCAACGTCAGCTGCCATCATCTGCTGCATCGCATGAGCACCGACCCGTTGTCTACCACGAAGATCACATCGATCCCGGTATCAGGCAGAGGTGTTCGGTTGTACAGGACACCCTCGATATCAATAGCGACGCCGAGCTCTTGGTACTCTTCGGTAACAAGCTTTTCCTCTGGGAACAGTCTAATCGCTGCCCGAAGAGTAGTCGGCAATAGTGAGCTTGAGCCTGACACTTGTGCATCGGATGTCTCGTGATCAAAGTCCGTAGGGGAAGGAAGACGCTTGGCAATGCGGCCCATAATGGAGCTGAACTTCTCTCCACTGGATGAATTTAGTAGCTGATGCACAAAACCGTTGGGATCAACGCACTTGCGGGCATTACGTAGCAAGTAAGCCTCGACAGCTTCGTCGCCCGGATACGCTACCGATGAACCTTCCTCGATCCCAACATGAAATCCAAGCGATGTAGTGCCAGTTGGCGAGCTTGAATCTGGCGTATCGTCAACACCAGCGCTCTTATCTCCGGTATTCTGGCGACGCAAGAGGGGTAGACCACTTGTGAAAAGCCGCAACTTGGACATACGCCGCTTTGGAGGCTCAGCACGGTTTTCGGGTTTGCTATTCACTTTCTCAAGAGCCTGTTGTGCGCTCATGTGTTCAGCGCCAGCAGCAAAACCAGGAGGCTTGGATGCATGCATAGCCTTGCTCGATAGCATGTCGATCGAGGGCCAGGGGGGAAATTCAGTGGTATGCACGGAACGTACCGGGCCGCCGCTCTCGGGCTCGTCATAGCTGTTGTTGCGCGGAGACATCATTGAATATACTAGGCTTGAGCCTGAGGCTGACGAGCGGCTGTTTCTATTCTTCCGTATTGTCAGAGGATGGTCGCTAGGAGTGCGACTGACAGGAAGAGGTGTTACACTCCACGACCACGGTGCTTTGAGTGGGCGCGCCCAGCCAAACACGGACGACTCGAAGCTATAGTCGAGTGGTAACTCCCAAATATCGCTTTTGATCTCGTCGATGATATCGTCTAGCGGCCCGAACACGTACTGGTCGCCGCTGGAGGTAGGGGTTGACTTACGAAATATTCGCCGTCGAAAAGTTGCTTTGCGCGACTTTTTCTGGATGGTGAGTGGGGGTGGGCAGAGAGGTGCGCGGTCCGAGAAGATACCGCCAGCTGTTATCGTTGTGATCATTGTGAATTCGCTCGAAACAGCAACAAACAGAAGCTCAGTCACCGCGGTGCGCTCACTCTCACCACGAGTTGTCTCCAGAGCGCGTGGTCTCTCAACGCGCAATGACAAACGGAATGGGGATAGATAAGAAGAGTAGCCAATGCGTAAACTGAGATGTGCGTTTGAGACGTAGGCATGATAATGAGAGTCGGCTGAGGTAAGTATTCCAGAAGGAGAAGCGCTGAAATGAGTCGGAAAGTGCGAATGGGTGCGTCAACAAACCTGTGGCGTTCCTGCCCTGGAGAGCACGCTGTTGAACTTCACTTCAAACTGCGTTTCTGTAGAGAGTTCTGTGCTCATGCATTCATACGTGAATCGATGCCCTATAGGTCTTACGCCATAAATCCACAACTACGCCTCACCAATTTGTGTGGCAGCGACTTCCATGTGCTTCTTCATCTGCTCATGCATCTCGTCGTCCGCTTCGCGAAAGCGAATCTATCGCAGAAGTAAGCACTGGCTTAGTCATATATTACTGCAACTTACTATGTCTTCCCCAGCGCCAGTGCCGAATAGGACTGGCTCAGATATACTAGCCTTGACTGCTTTTCTTACGCGATCTTCCCATACTCCTTCCCAGTTCCACTCTCCTGGTCGTCGATTACGTCCAAGTGCAGACGCACCCTCTGGATTCTCCGTCGTGGAAGGCTCAAGGCTAGGAGATGTTGGGTTTGACTGTTGAGATTGCAATACTGGAGCCCGATGCGCCCGCCACGCGTGGTAGGCGCCTGGGTTCGCAGCTGCCTCTAACGGGAGTGAGTCCAATATTGATTCTTCACTAAACGTCGAGCGGATGTACTCTAGCATGCGTACGATGGAGTATTCGGCCGTTGGCTGGGTACCGCCGAGGACACCAGAGGTAACATTGGAGTCGGAACGCATAGGAAGTACATTTGAAGATGCACTGACATCACGAGAATTTGGTACAGATCTTCGAGCTCTTCCGAACCAGTGTGGAAAGCCGTGTCGTAAACTGAACCCTCCAGGTGGTAGCCGTTCCTCGTCTGTTGCACTTACGGTATCCGTGTCGGCGGATCCAGTCGTGTAAGTATACGTGGTAAGTGGCGTGAGCAGCGGGTGAAAGACATCGGTAGAGAAGGTCACGAGGGGTGGTATGGCAGGATAGCTGGGTGGAAAAGATATTTGGAAGCGTAAGACTGCGGGCGCGTATGGTCCTGTCAAACGTGAATAATGCCGGTCTGCAATGACAGGGAACGCAAGACGATCGCCTAGTCCTATGGTACAGCCTACCTTTTCGCACGAATATTACACCAAACCACAGTGACGGGTCGCCAGGTGTGATACTCAAGAAAATGCCATCAAGCTGTGCATAGCGCAGACGGGAGCTGTGCAGAGTTAGGGAACGTCGCCGCCAAGTCATGTGCCTCGACTCACAACTCGACGAGAAGATGCTGCTTCCGAAAAGACGGGAGAGCCGACGCTGAGACGGACAACGGCATCTCGTGAGCAACGATGATGGTTGTTGGTCGTTCGGCTTCTTACAAGCACGGCGCCTGCGATGATGAGAGCCGAAGCGCGTTTGACGCTAGTGCTAACCGATCTGCGCCCTCACCTGCTTCAGTCTAACGCGCTGTCCCACCCTACCATTCGCTGAGCGTGCAATACCACCAACATGGCCCTGTATCTCACCAGGTCGCGTATGGAGATGCGCGCAAGGTAGGATCGTAACGACTATATGCTGCTCGTCCAAGTAGCAGTCCGCAAGTCGTGGCTGTCTGGTCGGATTGATTACTTGTCGGATGCGACACCAGCGTTGAGCAGATTCCATGCATCACCAGTGGATTTGTTCGCAGTAACACTGCGCGCATCCTTCGCAACTGCCAAGTGCCGGACTGCCGCTCAACCCTCGTCGCCCATCTATGTCAGGCCCTGCTCGGGACGTTGCCTGCGGCACTGGGACAAGGCTCTGACTGTGTTGTTGAGACCGATCAGGTGTGCCGGCAGGCTCGCAACGGTCCGGCTGAACGCACACCACCGGACTCACGTCAGAACGCAACACAGGACGCATGACCGCGTGCGCCGTTGGCACCGACGAGTCAGAGCGGAACTGGCTCACACACACTTACAACGTTGCAAAACGTCGGAGTTCGGGACGTGATGTTAGTGATCCCGTCCTGCGACTGCCGAGACATTCTATCCTCAAGCATCAGGATAATGAGCCTTTGCCGTCCTATGCTTATTCTGAGACGCCGTGCCGCGCCTGTAATGATTGATGACCACGTCGTACAGCCCTTGAGTGGAAATGCGCTGGCTCCAGTCAGCTCATCAAGGGCAGCCTTACGCGACGGCGTTACATGTCGTCGCGACCGAAGGCATACGAAGCCTTGTACGTAGGTAGAGTTGACGCCGGATCGAGCAACAGGCTGCTGCAGAATGATCGGGCAGCGTCAATTCCGATCGACCCACGCTACCGGTTTCGAGGCTGGCTTTTCGTTTTTGTACACTCGTGCCGACAAGCGCGTGAACACCCCAATCCTCCGAAATCTCTCCAGCCCACGCCCTCGTCTGGCATCTGCTGTCATTTTCGTCACGGCGCTATGAGTTATGCTATTGCCTAAGAGCAAAGAAGCATGGTGTCTTTTTCGGAGGATTCCATCAGAGCAATAAGAGGGCCAGGGGGCGTAATCCTAAAGACGCTAAAAAAGGCGGTGGCTGTCTCAGACGCTTCCATCTTTTTGCGAACCCTGTCCTCGCGTGGAAATCTGCAGGCCAGCCTTACATATCCACACCGCCATGACCGCTTAGGCCAGGTTGCGTCGAAACAGCCGTTGTGCCTTGACACCTTTCCATCAGCCAGCAGAGATCGCTGGAATGCCGCGACAGCTCACTTACAACACACGACGGACGCATGTCCGGGCCCACCGGAAATCAAATTGCTGGCAATGCCTAGCCAAGCGGTCTGAACTGGGCAGCAGTACAGATGCTACGTCGCCGCAGATGGGCGCAAAGCATGGTCAGCTGATGGAATTCCTAGGGTTATGATGCCTTGATGACTGATGAGAATGCAATCACGATGTGTGACCAGCAATGACAGATGCAAGCACCAAGCCACGTCCTGCGACCCGGTTGGGCCCAATGCGCAGTTGTGGGAAGCTTCGAAACTATGCTGACCGGACAGGGGTGCAGAGAGATGATACCTGGGGCAGCAAATGAAATCGCCGCACGCCTTAGTGTGCCAGGTTGCGATCTGAGGGACACGAAACGCGCTGTGTCGTCCTGCTCGGCCACTCAAGCGATACGACTCGTGCCTTGTGGCGCTGACGACAACCCGGATCGTCATGTATTGCAACAAAGCGACTCCGTCTAATGCAGACTGCCGCGTGACCGGTTGTTGTGCAGTTACCCAATGGCATACAGTACACCGCTATTTTTTGGGGGTTTGTCGGAGCAATCAAGGTATGATGCCATGACAGATGCTGCTCATCATCAATGACAGCGAGGCCCATAGCGAGGGCCCCAGCATCGTGGTCCGAGCTGCTTCTCGAAATTCTGCGGCGAATCTTCTGACTCGCCTCATGTCAAAAGTCTGACCGCGGCGGTGTTCTGGTGCCCCTGAACTGGGCGCTGCGAAAATTAGCATCGCCTTGTGTTCTACACCATAGCCGGCACGGCGTCCTATTTGTCGGCGGGGCACCGGCCACTGGGCCGCTCTGTCCGTTTAGGAATGAGGACACGGCCAGCTACGGCCGGCATGTCGTTCACAGAGCGACAGGGTCTCCCCTGCTGTGGCTCGAATCAGGGCGCTAGTGCCTGTGAATGTCGGTAGAAGCATGCGGGCTCCTAGCGCCGAGGATTTGGGTCCCGGGGAGTCGGGTTGCTCTGTTGATCCTGTTCCTCTTACGAGCCACGTCCAACGCTCTTGCAACTCTCCCTGGTCCGCCTTACTCGGTTCCTTCTAGCTCGTCCAATGTCATGGATTCCGCCCAACCCGGACCGGTTTGTTCGATGAGCAGAAAGCTTCCCCAGCCCAGCCCTGGCCCACTCTCAGGGGTTTGCATTCGCTTTCGCATGCTCACACAGAGCCCGTCCGGTGACATGGAGTCACAAAAAACAGAGCTAGGTACAGCTCGGCTGCCAGCACTGCACATTCCGGTCGCTTATCGACAGACGGTGGGCTGTTTCGTAGCAACGATGGCATCACGGATCCGCTACTCATTTTACATTTGCTGGTCCCTCCGCTGTCCCTATCCGCCCACACTACGTATCCATACCCACTGGCATCACCGCTTGTTCTCCGTTTCTTCCCCGCCGCCACAATCCTTGCTCATCCCAGCAGTCTATCCGTTTTGAGGACGCCACTTAAATCTTGCTGCTCCTTATATACCTTGTGACGCTCGCGTCCTTTGCAAACTGACTCTGACCTCTGAGCCCTGGAGGTACTAATCTGTCGCAAACTCGCACATGTCTTATTTGTCTCAATCGACTCACACTCTACTTGACATCTACCACATTCAGTCATAGTGCTTGACATTCCTCTTCGACCACCTGCACACCTACACACTCGACCTTCACATTCGACTTCCATACTACCAACATGGCTCGGTATGGCGTGGCAGCTGCCGCGGGCAGCGACAGAACACCATTCCCAACTCGACAAATGGCCGTACTTGGTGAGCATCACACAGTTGATGGCTCGTTGCCGTTACTAACGACAGCAGCGTTATGCCGGATATGCGAACCAATCGCTTTCATGTCGATATTTCCGTACGCCTACTTCATGGTCGAATCATTCATGACCGGACAAAGCACCGCCCAGATCTCCATGTACACCGGCATGGTCACCTCCTCTTTCGCATTCATGGAGTGCATCAGTGGCATTTTTTGGGGCCGACTTAGTGACCGGGTAGGACGGAAGAAGGTGCTCTTAGGAGGTCTTTTTGGTACGGGGCTGAGCATGTTGCTGTTCGGCTTCTCTCAGAGCCTACCAATGGCATTGATCGCGCGGGCTCTCGGGGGTTTGCTCAACGGGTGAGGTCATAGTGTGATCTAGCGTACGAGCCTCGCTAACCTTATATGCAGGAACATCGGCGTTCTCCAGACCACCGTCGCTGAGCTTGTAACGGATGAGCGACATCAGCGTGAGTTTTGCCATAACTCTAATTATACGCCGCGCGAGACTGACTTTTGATAGCGCGCGCTTATTCCATCATGCCTTTTGTTTGGTGCCTTGGGTAAGAAATTACCGAACACGTTCCGAATTGTCCATGCTGACCGCTTTTTGTAGCACCATCATCGGCGGAGCGCTTGGCGGCTTGCTCGCTCGTCCCGCCAACGTAATGCCGTTTTTCCAGGGCACCATCTTCGAGACATACCCGTTTCTTCTTCCAAACCTGGTCTGCACTGGATTCGTGGTTCTTGGCCTTACCGTCGGCATCCTCTTCTTGGAAGAGACGCACGAGGACCGCAAATACGACCAGGATAGGGGACGCGAAGCGGGGCAATGGCTCCTGCGCAAACTCTGGAAGCGAGAGGCAGAGGCAACATTCGACGACAAGGATGCTTCGTTTGACGAGATGCGATCGATGCTCAGCGACCATGACCACAACGTGCAGGCCTACCGAAGCACTGACAGCTCGCCTACCCTGTGCAGCACGCGAACTTCCATTTCAGAAGTACCTGAGTTCGAATTGGACAAGCAGCTTGCACCAGCGCCAACCTTCCGACAAGCATTCACCAAGCAAGTGATTCTGAATGTGGTGTGCTACGGCATTCTCGCTTTCCACACCATTTCTCTCGAGCAACTCCTCCCAATTCTGATGTCCAAGGATGTCCCAGCCAAGGGTTCCCAGCACCTTCCATTCCGCTTCGAGGGTGGCTTCGGGTGGTCAACCCAGACCACTGGAGCATTCCTTGCTGCGCAAGGTTTCCTCCAGATGTTCGCTCAGGTCATCTTGTTCCCGTGGGTCAGCAAGAAGCTCGGCAGCCTTCGCACTTTCTGGATTACTCTAGCCTGCTACCCGGTTCTCTACCTCCTTGCCCCTTACCTGGCTGTCCTTCCTGAAAGTCTGCGTATTCCCGGACTCGCAGCTCTGCTCATCGCCAAGGTTACCTTCCAGTCACTTTCCTACCCATCCCTGGCCATTATCCTCGCAAACTCGTCTCCATCCAAGAAGGTCCTCGGCACGCTGAACGGAGTTGCAATGTCTTCTGCCAGCATCTCCCGCGGCTTTGGTCCTACCGTATCAGGTGCCGTGGACAGCTTGGGTACCTCGCTCCACATGTCTGGCCTTGCATGGTGGACTATTGCCGCTGTTGCTCTTCTTGGCTGGCTGCCTGGATTTGCTCTCCAAGAGAGCAAGCGATCGGCTTTCACTGCACAAGAAGACGAAGAGGCCCTCATCGACTCCGACTCTGACGCAGAGTCTGTCATCACTCTCACCCCGGACGAAATCGAAATCGTCCTCTCAAAATAGATACACGCAATCACGACCAAAAACAG